TGTTAGGCAATACAGTTGATATCGCGTGTTGTATATTTAAGCCTTTAATACTACAAAAACATTTAGAAACTGGGTCTAACAAATGAATCCTCTAAAGAGTGCTGCAACCTATGGTACAGGCATTCTCTTTCTCGGAAGAAAAAAAAAAGTAAATGCAAGACAAGTCAGAAAGGTAACAACACAGCGGCAACCCGTAACTCCCCGGACAGGAGACCAGTCTAAAAAATAATGAATGGAACGTGACCTAGTTTGTTTGGGTAGATTATCGTGAAACTGACCTCAAATTGCCTACCCTGCTCCCAAACAATCATACCCCCCCCCCCCAACCGTGGGGCATGACACCCCCCCCCCCTCGTTAGGAAACAGTGATCTAAGGTAAGTGTATAGGTGTTAGATAATATAGCGATACAATACACGGGGTAGCAGAATGTATTTCTATGTTGTGCTTCTTTTTCTTGAAGCATGCACAGTTAATTATGGATGTTTTCTTCAAAGTCGGAGTGTATCTGCATAAGAGGCGAGCAACCAACTGTCTGCATACAAATAAGTCAGATCTGTAAACTTGATATTTACTAAAAACTCAAATTCTGGAAAAAGACTAGAATCCAGAAGTGAAGGAATCTCCGGGACTTTCCAGCATAGTTTACAGCCGGGAAACGCTGAGAAAAAGAAAATATGTCACGATGTAATAAATAAGAGGATGTAAGTTGAGTTTATGGTCCTAGTTTTTAAATAATGCAAAGATATAACAAATATTATCCATTGTGGGACGAACTGACTGACGACTGAAGACACGAGTAACTGAGCAAATTCCACTATGGGTGGTAACAGCAATGCAAAGTACTATGAACAACAGTAATAACTCCAGACACAATTCAAGTGAATAGTTGAAAAGATCACCCGTCATCCATCGCGCGCCCCATCTTGAACTTTAGTCACTCTGTAAACAAGGAACATACATATTGAATTCTGTATACCTCATACAACTACATAATGGAAGCCCCGATAATAAACCGGTTCAGTGCAGAATTACCGAGAAGCCGACCGTACACAGGCTATGACACAGCTATTGGACGTAAATTTGCCTAGAAAAACCACAACAGCCAAAAAATGCTGGGGTTGGTTTTGCAATGTCCTGTAAAGGATACGCAAATAACTTAGTCTAGAAGTATGCAGACAAAAAGAAATGGTCGTGAGCCTGCATTCGCCCTTGTGAAACACGCAGTTACCTTTGAATGAAGTCGAATTTATGTTTTACTTAGAAGGATTAATTTATATGCTTCGTCTTAAAAACAATTGTTACTACATTATGCACTTGATAAGATACAGCAAAATATGTCAGGCAATCAATTGTGCCAACTTTAGTTTGTGTCTTGTCTGTTCAACTTCACAACGGAGAAACATTGCTTCAAAAGAACACATTCTTAAATAATGAGTTTAGGTTTCATGGAATGCAAAGATATAAGACTATCCACACAACCATTTGATTCCATTCGGGAAAGGTCTGTAATGTATCTTCCTTTATGAGCCCGCCTTTTCTTGAAAATAAACACAACACCAACTGTAACTATAACTACACCCGCGGTAGATGCAATGACAATAGCTGCAATTTCCCCTCCTTTTTCCCAAGTATGGTCTGGGTCACCTCTGGCGGCTTCCGTCTGGTTTGTATCATTGCTTTGAGTCGTGGTAGCTGCTTTTGATGCAGTATTAGATTGATCTGACGGAGGAGTAGCCGCTTTTTTTGTATTGTTATTTTCTTCAATTGTAGTGTTCCTTTCTGATGTAGAGGTTATTTCTATTGTAGTATTAGTTTCTTCAATTGTAGTGCTCACTTTGTCTGTTGTGGGAGTTGTTGTGTCTATAAAAGTACTAGCTGAGTTAGTTATTTTTGTAGTTAATGTTGTTGTGTGAATGTTGTCAGTTATACTGGTGGATGCTTGAGTTAGAGTTGTAGCTAATTCTCTTGTAGTGGTTGATTCTGTTGTAATGGGATTTGTGTCTTTTGTAGTAGCGTTAGCATCTGTTGTGGGACTGGCTGCTTCTGTTGTGGGACTGGCTGCTTCTGTTGTGGGACTGGCTGCATCTGTTGTGAAACTGGCTGCTTCTGTTGTGAAACTGGCTGCTTCTGTTGTGAAACTGGCTGCTTCTGTTGTGGGACTGGCTGCCTCTGTTGTGCGACTGGCTACTTCTGTTGTAGGACTGGCTGCTCCTGTTGTGGGACTGGCTGCTTCTGTTGTGGGACTGGCTGCCTCTGTTGTGGGACTGGCTGCCTCTGTTGTGAAACTGGCTGCTTCTGTTGTGGGACTGGCTGCCTCTGTTGTGAAACTGGCTGCTTCTGTTGTGGGACTGGCTGCCTCTGTTGTGGGACTGGCTGCTTCTGTTGTGGGACTGGCTGCCTCTGTTGTGGGACTGGCTGCTCCTGTTGTGGGACTGTCTGCTTCTGTTGTGGGACTGGCTGCCTCTGTTGTGGGACTGTCTGCTTCTGTTGTGGGACTGGCTGCCTCTGTTGTGGGACTGGCTGCTCCTGTTGTGGGACTGTCTGCTTCTGTTGTGGGACTGGCTGCCTCTGTTGTGAAACTGGCTGCTTCTGTTGTGAAACTGGCTGCCTCTGTTGTGAAACTGACTGCTTCTGTTGTGGGACTGGCTGCCTCTGTTGTGGGACTGCCTGCTTCTGTTGTAGGACTGGCTGCTCCTGTTGTGGGACTGGCTGCTCCTGTTGTGGGACTGGCTGCCTCTGTTGTGGGACTGTCTGCTTCTATTGTGGGACTGGCTGCTCCTGTTGTGGGACTGGCTGCCTCTGTTGTGGGACTGGCTGCTTCTATTGTGGGATTGGCTGCTTCTATTGTGGGACTGGCTGCTCCTGTTGTGAAACTGGCTGCCTCTGTTGTGAGACTGTCTGCTTCTGTTGTGGGACTGGCTGCTCCTGTTGTGAAACTGGATGCTTCTGTTGTGGGACTGGCTGCTTCTGTTGTGAAACTGGCTGCTTCTGTTGTAGGACTGTCTGCTTCTGTAATAGGACTGGTTGCTCCTGTTGTGGGACTGGCTGCTCCTGTTGTGAAACTGGCTGCTTCTGTTGTGGGACTGGCTGCTTCTGTTGTGGGACTGGCTGCTCCTGTTGTAGGACTGGCTGCTTCTGTAATAGGACTGGTTTCTCCTGTTGTGGGACTGGCTGCTTCTGTTGTGGGACTGGCTGCTCCTGTTGTGGGACTGGCTGCTTCTGTTGTGGGACTGATTGCTCCTGTTGTGGGACTGGTTGTTTCTGTTGTGGGACTGGCTATATTTGTTGTGGGACTGGCTGTTTCTGTTGTGGGACTGGTTGTTTCTGTTGTGGGACTGGTTGTTTCTGTTGTGGAACTGGCTGCTCCTGTTATGAGACTGGTAGGGGTAGTTAGATCTGGCGTGGTAGCAGTATTTAGATCTGGCGTGGTAGCAGTAGTTAGATCTGGCGTGGTAGCAGTAGTTAGATCTGGCGTGGTAGCAGTAGTTAGATCTGGCGTGGTAGCAATAGTTAGATCTGGCGTGGTAAAGATAGTTAGATCTGGCGTGGTAGCAGTAGTTAGATCTGGCGTGGTAGCAGTAGTTAGATCTGGGGTGGTAGCAGTAGTTAGATCTGGCGTGGTCGCAGTAGTTAGATCTGGGGTGGTAGCAGTAGTTAGACCTGGCGTGGTAGCAGTAGTTAGATCTAGCGTGGTAGCAGTAGTTAGATCTGGCGTGGTAGCAATAGTTAGATCTGGCGTGGTAAAGATAGTTAGATCTGGCGTGGTAGCAGTAGTTAGACCTGGCGTGGTAGCAGTAGTTAGATCTGGCATGGTAGCAGTAGTTAGATCTGGCGTTGTAAGGATAATTAGATCTGGCGTGGTAGCAGTAGTTAGATCTGGCGTGGTAGCAGTAGTTAGATCTAGCGTGGTAACAGTAGTTAGATCTGGCGTGGTAGCAGTAGTTAGATCTGGCGTAGTAGAAGTAGTTAGATCTGGCGTGGTCGCAGTAGTTAGATCTGGGGTGGTAGCAGTAGTTAGATCTGGCGTGGTAAGGATAGTTAGATCTGGCGTAGTAGAAGTAGTTAGATTTGGCGTGGTAGGGGTAGCTAGATCTGGCGTGGTAGGGGTAGCTAGATCTGGCGTGGTAACAGTAGTTAGATGTGGCGTGGTAGCAGTAGTTAGATCTAGCGTGGTAGCAGTAGTTAGATCTGGCGTGGTAGCAGTAGTTAGATCTGGCGTAGTGGGGATAATTAGATTTGGTATCGTACTGGTAGTTGTGTATGGTATGGTGGTGGTAGTTTTGTCTTGTGTCGTCGTGGCAGTTGTGTGTGGTGAGGTAGTAGTAACTGTGTCTGGTGTGGTAGAGGTAGTTTTGTCTTGTGTTGTAGTTGTGTCTGGTGTGGTAGAGACAGTTTTGTCTTGTGTTGTAGTTGTGACTGGTGTGGTAGTAGTAAATGTGTCTGGTGTGGTAATTGTGTCTGGTGTGGTAGTGGCAGTTTTGTCTGATGTGATAGTTTTGTCTGGTGTGGTAGTTTTGTGTTGTGTCGTCGTGGCAGTTGTGTGTGGTGAGGTAGTAGTAACTGTGTCTGGTGTGGTGGAGATAGTTTTCTCTTGTGTTGTAGTTGCGTCTGGTGTGTTAGTGATAGTTGTGTCTGGTTTAGTAATTGTGTCTGGTCTGGTAGAGATAGTTTTGTCTTGTGTTGTAGTGACTGGTGTGGTAATAGTAAATGTGTCTGGTGTGCTAATTGCGTCTGGTGTGGTAGTGGCATTTTTTTCTGGTGTGGTAGTTTTGTCTGGTGTGGTAGTTTTGTCTGGTGCGTTAGTTTTGTCTGGTGTTGTAGTTGAGTCTGGCGTCGTAGTGGTAGTTGTGTCTGGTGTAGTAGTTTTTTCTGGGGTGGTAGTTGAGTCTGGAGTGGTAGTAGTAGTTATGTCTGGTGTGGTAGGGGTAGTTTTGTCTGGTGTGGTAGTTTTGTCTGGTGTGGTAGTTGAGCCTTGTGTGGTAGTGGTAGTTGTGTCTACTGTGGTAGTGATAGTTGTGTCTGGTGTGGTAGTTTTGTCTGGTGTGGTAGTTTTGTCTAGTGTGATTGTTGTTGATGTGAGAGGTGTGGTTGTGTCTGAAGTGATCGTTGTTGTTGGATCTGTTGTGGTAGTTTTGTTTGGTGCGGTAGTTTTGTCTGGTGTGGTAGTTTTGTCTGGTGTGTTAGTTTTGTCTGATGTGGTAGATTTGTCTGGTGTGGTAGTGGTAGGTAAGTCTGGTGAGGTAGTTTTGTCTAGTGTGGTAGTTGTATCTGGTGCAGTAGTTGTGTCTGGTGTGCTAGTTTTGTCTGGTGTGGTAGTTTTGTCTAGTGTGATAGTGGTAGTTTTGTCTGGTGTGGTAGTTTTGTCTGGTGTAGTAGTGGTAGTTGTGCCTGGTGTGGTAGAAGTAGTTTTGTCCGGTGTGGTAGTTGAGCCTGGTGTGGTAGTGGTAGTTGTGTCTGGTGTGTTAGTTTTGTCTGGCGTGGTAGTTTTGTCTGGTGTGGTAGTTTTGTCTGGTGTGGTAGTTTTGTTGGGTGCGGTAGTTTTGTCTGGTATAGTAGTTTTGTCTGGTGTGGTAGTTTTATCTGGTGTGGTAGTTGAGTCTGGTGTGGTAGTTGTGTCTGGTGTGGTAGTGGTAGTTGTGTCTGATGTGGTCGTTGTGTTTGGTGTGGTAGATGTGTCTAGTGTGATTGTTGTTGATGTGAGAGGTGTGGTTGTGTCTGAAGTGATCGTTGTTGTTGGATCTGTTGTGGTAGTTTTGTTTGGTGCGGTAGTTTTGTCTGGTGTGGTTGTTTTGTCTGATGTGGTAGTTTTGTCTGGTGTGTTAGTTTTGTCTGGTGTGGTAGATTTGTCTGGTGTGGTAGTGGTAGTTGTGTCTGGTGTGGTAGTTTTGTCTGGTGTGTCTGGTGTAGTAGTTGTGTCTGGTGTGTTAGTTTTGTCTGGTGTGGTAGTTTTGTCTGGTGTGGTAGTGGTTGTTTTGTCTGGTGTGGTAGTTTTGTCTGGTGTGGTAGTGGTAGTTGTGTCTGGTGTGGTAGTAGTAGTTATGTCTCGTGAGGTAGTTGTGTCTGGTGTTTTAGTGGCAGTTTTGTCTGGTGTGGTAGTTTTGTCTGGTGTGGTAGTTTTGTCTGGTGGGGTAGTTTTGTCTGGTGTGGTAGTTTTGTCAGGTGGGGTAGTTTTGTCTGGTTTGGTAGTTTTGTCTGGTGTGGTAGTTGAGTCTGGTGTGGTAGTGGTAGTTGTGTCTGGTGTGGTAGTAGTAGTTTTGTCTGGTGAGGTAGTTGTGTCTGGTGTTTTAGTGGCAGTTTTGTCAGGTGTGGTAGTTTTGTCTGGTTTGGTAGTTTTTTCTGGTGTGGTAGTTGAGTCTTGTGTGGTAGTGGTAGTTGTGTCTTGTGTGGGAGTTTTGTCTGGTGTGGTAGTTGAGTCTGGTGTGGTAGTTTTGTCTGGTGTGGTAGTTTTGTCTGGTGTGGTAGTTTTGTCTGGAGTCCTAGTTTTGTCGGGTGTGGTAGTTTTGTTTGGTGTGGTAGTTTTGTCTGGTGTGTTAGTTTTGTCTGGTGTGGTAGTTTTTTCTGGTGTGGTAGTTATGTCTGGTGTGGTAGTGGTAGTTGTATCTGGTGAGGTAGTGGTAGTTGTGTCTGGTGTGGTCGTTGTGTCTAATGTGGTAGTTCTGTCTAGTTTGGTAGTTGTGTTTGGTGTGGTTGTGTCTGAAGTGATCGTTGTTGTTGGATCTCGTGTGGTAGTTGTAGTTGGCTCTGGTGTAGTAGTTGTAGTTGGATCAGGTGTGGTAGTTGTAGTTGGATCGGGTGTGATAGTTGTAGTTGGATCTGGTGTGGCAGTTGTAGTTGGATCTGGTGTGGTAGTTGTAGTTGGATCTGGTAATATAGTTGTCGTTGGATCTGGTGTGGTAGTTGTAGTTGGATCTGGTGTGGTAGTTGTAGTTGGATCTGGTGTGGTAGTTGTAGTTGGATCTGGTGTGGTAGTTGTAGTTGGATCTGGTGTGGTAGTTGTAGTTGGATCTGGTGTGGTAGTTGTAGTTGGATCTGGTGTGGTAGTTGTAGTTGGATCTGGTGTGGTAGTTGTAGTTGGATCGAGTGTGGAAGTTGTAGTTGGATCTGGTGTGGTAGTTGTAGTTGGATCTGGTGTGGTAGTTGTAGTTGGATCTGGTGTGGTAGTTGTAGTTGGATCAGGTGTGGTAGTTGTAGTTGGATCGGGTGTGGATGTTGTAGTTGGATCTGGTGTGGTAGTTGTAGTTGGATCTGGTGTTGTAGTTGTAGTTGGATCTGGTGTGGTAGTTGTAGTTGGATCTGGTGTGGTAGTTGTAGTTGGATCTGGTGTAGTAGTTGTAGTTGGATCTGGTGTGGTAGTTGTAGTTGGATCTGGTGTGGTAGTTGTAGTTGGATCTGGTGTGGTAGTTGTAGTTGGATCGAGTGTGGAAGTTGTAGTTGAATCTTGTGTGGTAGTTGTAGTTGGATCTGGTGTGGTAGTTGTAGTTGGATCTGGTGTGGTAGTTGTAGTTGGATCTGGTGTGGTAGTTCTAGTTGGATCTGGTCTGGTAGTTCTAGTTGGATCTGATGTGGTTGTTGTAGTTGGATCTGGTGTGGTAGTTGTAGTTGGATCTGGTGTGGTAGTTGTAGTTGGATCTGGTGTGGTAGTTGTAGTTGGATATGGTGTGGTAGTGGTAGTTGGATCTGGTGTTGTAGTTGTATCTGGTGTGGTAGTGGTTGTTGGAAATGGTGTGGTAGTTGTAGTTGCATCGGGTGTGGTAATGGTGGTTGGATCTGGTGTAAGAGTGGTAGCTTGATCTGGTGTGGGAGTGGTAGCTGGATCTGGTGTGGTAGTTGTAGTTGGATCTGGTGTGGTAGTTGGATCAGGTGTTATAGTTGTAGTTGAATCTGATGTGGTTGTTGTAGTTGGATATGGTGTAGTAGTGGTAATTGGATTTGGTGTTGTAGTTGGTTCTGGTGTGGTAGTTGTAGTTAGATCTGATGTGGTAGTTGTAGTTGGATCTGGTGTTGTAGTTGGATCTGGTGTTGTAGTTGTAGTTGGATCTGGTGTGGTAGTTGTAGTTGGATCTGGTGTGGTAGTTGTAGTTGGAACTGGTGTGAGAGTGGTAGTTGGATCTGGTGTGGTAGTTGTAATTTTATCTGATGTGGTAGTTGTAGTTGGATCTGGTCTTGTAGTTGGATCTGGTGTTGTAGTTGTAGTTGAATCTGATGTGGTAGTTGTAATTGGATCTGGTGTGGTAGTTGTAGTTGAATCTGATGTGGTAGTTGTAATTGGATCTGGTGTGGTAGTTGTAGTTGAATCTGATGTGGTAGTTGTAGTTGGATCTGGTGTTGTAGTTGTAGTTGAATCTGATGTGGTAGTTGTAGTTGGATCTGGTGTTGTAGTTGAATCTGATGTGGTAGTTGTAGTTGGATCTGGTGCTGTACTCGAAGCTGGGTGTGGTCTAGTAGCAGTGTCCGTTACTGCAGTCGAATTTGCGACTTCTTCTGCCTGTATGATGTTCACATCAGATCTTTTTATTCTAACAAGCGAAGGCGAACCATCTTTAAGTGCTGAATCCTGTTGTTGCTCTAGCTTTGTTACATGTGACACACCCAACGTTTCATTGGAGATAGATAAAGAGAGTAGTCTATGAGTGAACAAATCATAAGTAGGTTTAAGTAGCTTATCTGGCGTAGCTACTGTTGTCCTTTCTCGTACTGAGGTATTTTCGCGAACTGATCCCTGCATAACTTGTCTGAAAGGAATGGCGGTGAGATTTCCTGTGCGTTTATCTGACCTACATTCTCTGTTTGATACTGTGACGTGAATATTCTTCAGAGCCAGTGTTGAATTGTGTGATCTCTTATCGGTTTCAAATACAATCTGTGAAATATACAATCAGTGAAACAGATTAGATGGTAGATGATGGTGGTTTTAGAGATATCATATACTACTACTACTACTACTACTACTACTACTACTACTACTACTACTACTACTACTACTACTACTACTACTACTACTACTACTACTACAACAACTACAACTACTACTACTACAACTACTACTACTACTACTACTACTACTACTACTACTACTACTACTACTACTACTACTACTACTACTACTTTTACTACTGCTGCTGCTGCTGCTACTACTACTTATTATTACTGTTATTTATGTTTATGTTACTATTTATATTGTCATAATCATCATCAGTGTTTTTCCCCCTCACACTACATAATAACATAACATTTGGAGCTAGAAATATGATTCTTTAACAAAGGAGGCTTGACGATAGCGTTGCCAGAAACGAGCAAAGGAACGAGGCGCCCAGGCTTTAAAAAAACGCAAGCCACATACCAACCGAGAAACTAGCTTGCCCGCTCATCAAAAGTCAGAACATCTGAGAAGGCGAACGCAGACACCAAAGGCTCCGATCTTGTAAGAGCGATATCAGAACTGAGATTTGAACTACAGAAGGAGAAAGCCGCTGCCGCTACTGAAAGAGCAGAGACCCTTGAACTCATCTCCCTAATGTTTGGAGATAACAAAGCTTTGAAAAAACGACAAGCTGGCACTCGCAACACAATAGGCTGAAAAACAGATGAAAGAGGCATCAACTGAAGAAAGCATCGAAGATTTAATCGCAAGTCTGCAAGCAGCCCAGATAGAAGGAGAAACTCGCCGGCAGGAGGAAAGTGAGGTGCGAAGGAAGGAGATGGCGGAAATCAAAGAAGCTCGGGAGAGTGCCTACCGATAAGTCGCCAGACTAGCCCAGCAGAAAGCTCTGCAAGAACGCAGGAATGCGATGGCCGTGCAGGAGGAGAAAGCGGCATAAACTTTGCAAATATCCTAGGAGATCTGGCAGAGACTCGAATCGTAATCAAAGAACTCAGTGATATTCAACGAAACTCTGAATTGATGCAGTCAAAATCGATACAATTGTGGCTGCAGCAGAAGAATCACAAGAACTAGAACACGATAAAACTGACCAGGAAGCCGAGTACTCAGCACAGAACACGGATACAGAAGGCCCAGAGCAGTCAGCTGACGAATTCGCCTCCGATATCAAAGAGATGCCAGAAGAACAGTAGAATCCCACTGCTAACAATCACCCGCCCAGGAAACTCTTCACCCCTGTACACAATTGCCGATCAGTTTGCGCACAGCGAACAAGACTAGTTTGAGAGTAGAACAGACCAATAGAACCCAAACACAACAAGCGGGGTAGACGAGGACGCCGCCATTACTAACAGGAAACAGCACAAAGCAGCAGAGGAAAGACCGAGTAAAAAGCCCAGACAATCAAAACGGCACAAAAACTATGCCACCATCTTTGTGGAAAAGCCAGCTCGCCAAACGGAGGAAATACGGACACCACTAGACCTGACAGCAGACGCCAGACACCAGGAGACCCTACCCCTAGCCTTTCTTGGCCGTCCCAGGCAAACTGTTAGTCCTTTTCAGGAATATTTGACTCTCCTTCAAAACGCCAGGAAAAACAGCCCTATCAACTGCCAGGCTACGTCAGACATGTCACACAGACCAACTACCTCAGGCGAAACTGATCGCCACAAATAAACTAAAATATTCAACTCATATAGCAACAACAACAAAACAGTCCTCAATATAGGCCCTCGGGAGTCAAAAAAAAAAAAGACTAAGTTAGAAATATTTGTTTACCAAAATCGAATCGAATCGCATGACAGCACTACTTCCTCAGTCACACTTAACCACATCTGAATAATGCCCTGTTAAATTTATTCCAGACGCTTTTTAAAGGCACATGTTTTTGATCTTTTGCTTGATGTATAAATTATTTTATGGATGGAAAGTTAAATGCATGAGGAAACAAATGCCTGAGAAAAAAATTGATGAACGTAGAATTGAATAAATTCAGGAGGAGTGAAGAAATACGAGAAATGCCTGGACAACTGCTAGTATCAACAGTGATTAGACAGACGCTGTAGTAGACACATAGCTACAAGATATGAACAGATAATAAATAAACAGGTACTAAAATAGGAAATAGAGAGATTAACCGAGCAAAGACGTCCAATTGAAACCCTAAGGCAAACGTTGATGAGAGAAGCCAAAGCTACTGAACTGGATTCCATCCATGATATCGATGTAAATGCACAGGATAGAGCGGAATGGAAAATTAGAATGCGGGATCTATGTACATTTAATGAATAAATACATCATTATCAGTCACAAATAAGCACTGGTATCAACTTACATAGTCCCCAGCATCCACACATGCAGAAAAACTAATTTCGGTCCATTGCCCACGCGTATTAATATCACTGAGTTGCCCAATTTGTTTTCTCGACCATGTGAATCCAGCCCTAGGATCCTTAGAAAGGTATGTCCTGATGGTATAAGCCCCGTCGCCCGTTGTGGCATACTGAAACTGTAGACATATAGACAGCCTTACATCCACTTGACAAGCGACAAACGTAGATCTAGTTGTTGGTCTGATGTCTGATTTCAAATATACATATGCGTCTGAAGAATAAAACAGTATGTGTTTTAACATATACGTTATTAAAAAGTAAACTATATAGAATGTATTTTAACTTATACACGTAAATGAAAAGGAAAGCATATAGTATGTACTTAAACATGTATTTTAACTTATTTACGAAACTGAAAAGTAAAGCGTGGAGTATGTATTTGAACCGATATACGTAACTGAAAAAAAAGCTTGTAGTATGTAATTTAACATATACGTAATTGAAAAGTTAAGCATGTATTATGTATCTGAACATATACGTAATTAAAAGGTAAAACAGGTCTTATATATCTGAAAATATACGTAACTGAAAAGTAAAGCAGTTATTATGTATCTGAACATATAAACAAGAAAAAGTAAAGGAGCCTTTTCCACGCCTTTAGGTGTATAGGGCATAAAGGGCTAGACCTATATTTTATAGACCAACCGGCACAAGATGGGGGATGTGGTCAGCATCACGCCGGCCGCCTTTACCTTCCGGGACCGCACCCGGTATCCACTTAAGGCTGGGTCTACCTGGGAGCCAAGATTATTTTTGAAAAATATCCGGCTCCGCCAGGGAGCGAACCCACGACCTTCCGATCCGCGACGAACGTCTAGCCTCTCCGCCACGGCGACTTCCATCTGAACATATACGTAACTTAAAAGTAAAGTAGGTATTATGTATCTGAACATATACGTAACCGAAAAGAAAAGCATATACATAACTGAAAAGTAAAGCAGGTATTATGTATCTGAACATACACGTAATTGAAAAGTAGAGCATGTAATATATATTTTAAAACACACGTAATTGAAAATTAAAGCATGTAGTATGTAATAAAATATATAAGTAATTGACAAGTAAAGCATGTAGTATGTAATAAAATATATAAGTAATTGACAAGTAAAGCATGTAGTATGTAATAAAATATATAAGTAATTGACAAGTAAAGCATGTAGTATGTAATAAAATATATAAGTAATTGACAAGTAAAGCATGTAGTATGTTATAAAATATATAAGTAATTGACAAGTAAAGCATGTAGTATGTAATAAAATATATAAGTAATTGACAAGTAAAGCATGTAGTATGCATTTTAACATATTCGTAATTGAAAAGTAAAGCAAATATTATGTAATTGAACATATATGCAGCTGAAAATTAAAGCATGTATCTTGTATTTTAAAATATGGGTAATTAAAAAATGGTCCCAGACACTGTCGTACTGGACAGGGCTGGTATTCCCAGCATTAATACCATCCTGATGCAGTCACAGATTCCATGGGCTGGCCATAGTGTTCGAATGCCTGACCATCGGCTCCCAAAAATAATCTTCTATGGTAAGATACATGAAGGTTGACGTTCTTGTCGTGGCCAGAAAAAGCACTTAAGTAAAGGCATCATTGAAAGCCTTCAGTATAAACCCTGACAACGGCGAGGCTGCAGCACAAGACCTGACTTTATGGCGCACATATATCCGAGAAGTTGCAACGATCTGCGAGGTATCTAGAACAAGGTTAGCTGAACAGAGAAGACAGGCTAGAAAAAAAAACCGTCAAACAGGCCCTTTGTCTACAGATACTGTGCCCTGTCCTCATTGTCCTAGACTCTTCCTGGCACGTATTGTACTTATAAGCCACCTGCGAACTCACAAACATGCAAAGTGCAGTTTCCTGACGGATGAAAGAAAGAGTGGTCCTCATCACTTGTGATGGACGAACTTTAACGTATGTGTAATTAATGAGGAAAACATATAGCATATATCTGAAGATATGCACTGAAAAGTAAATCATGTAGTATATACTTGAACCCATATAAGTAAATGAAAATAAAATCAAGTAGTAGGTAATTTTGAAAACATATTGAAAAGTAAAGCAAGTATTATATATCTAAACGTATAGTAATTGTTTGTTTGTTTTAGTATCCAGTTTAGAAGCCATGAGTTGTTAACCCTTAGGCTCGGTATTATGGATATCGCAACCTTTCGGCCTTGATTCCATTGTAAATACAGTAAATCTGGGAGAAATGTGGCTTTCCTGCCTACCCCCGGGATTGAACCCGGACCACAAGGAGTTCGTCACCCAGTCTCCGCGCAATTCAGTTTAGCCAACTACGCTAGAGAGCCGGGCGTATAGTAATTAAAAAGGAAGGCATGTATTATGTTTTTAGCATATCTTCTTCTTCTTCTCTTCCACCTTGTACCTTAGCGAAGTCTCGGGGGAGATGTAATGTTCGTTGATGAACTCTGTCAAGAGCACTATTAGGACTGATTTTCATTTCCGTAAGGCTGTTTCTAATGCCATCACTCCATATTTTCCGAGGTCTTCCGCTCGCTCTATACCCGTTGCAACATTTTAGTGTGGCTCGCTGTGGCAGATAGTACAGGGCGTTCTTGTTAGGTGTCCAAACCACTTCATTTGTTGTTTTTAATATCTTGTAAGACTGGCTTTTTTCCTAACATTCGTCTAATTTCGTGATTTCGTATTCTGTCTTTCCTTGAAACTCCTGCAGCTCTTCTAAGGAATTTCATCTCTGTTGTCACAATTTTACGTTCATTGGAGGATGTAAGTGTTCGCCTTTTGCACTGGCTAAAAACAAAAATAGTTCTGACAAGATTCACTTTAGTACTCCAAGGTATCTGCTTGTGTGTCCCCATACATTCCCAAAACATATTCCTGTCGACTCTATCAAAGGCTTCCTCCTGGTCTATGAATGTCAACAAACATGTCTTATCTTGTTCTATTGATCTCTCTAAAAGCTGTCTCAATGTATAAATGGCATCTGTGCAACTTCTGTTTCGTTAAAAGCCCATCTGTGCTTCTGAAAGTTGATACTCTATCATTGGTCTTAGCCTTCTGTCGATGATCTTGGCATACATTTTCCCAGTGTGGCTGAGAAACGATTTTCCTCTGTAATTAGTACAGTCCCCTCTTACTTCCATAGTGTGACGATGACAGCAGTTTGCCAATCTGATGATGTTTCTTGATTTTCCCATGTTGCTCCCGCTTCTCCTGCTGCCTTGATGACCTCAGTAGGTATATGATTATCAATACCTGTCGCCTTTATCTAAACATATACGTAATTGAAAAGTAAAGCAAGTCGTATGTAACTGAACTTATACGTAATTGAAAAGTAAAGCAATATGGTATGAATTTGAACATATACGTAATTGAAAAGTAATGCGAGTCGTATGTAACTGAACTTATACGTAATTGAAAAGTAAAGCATATACTATGTATTTGAACATATACTTAGTCATTCGTTAAATCCAGAAGGACTTTGCAAGTCGACCCAGCCTTAAATGGGTACCAGGTAAAGTCCTGCGAAGCAAAGGCAGCCGGTGTGATGTTTACCACATCATGCAAGTGCATATCGGTCTGTAAAATATAGGTCCAGCCTTATATACCTAGCACACTTGAAGGTAATTGATGATAGTGCTGACGATTATTATGATAATGATGTTGTTGATGAACATAATATTAATGAATACTAAATGAGTTTACACTTACCGTATGCAGATTTTGGTTCTTCACGGTCGATTGAACCAGTTGTTTTATTTTCCACAGCCCAGGACAAACCATGTCTTATCTGTGTGGGATGTGTAAAAGATTTGACTATCTTCTCGAAAGTGCAAGCCCGTATACTTTCTGCTCCAGTGTTGCATGTTGAGTCTCTAGAAGCAGACGTTCCTGTTAGAGTATGATGAGATCATTTCAAACACATATTTAAACGCTAAATTATAACAGGGGCTTCAGTGGTCGATGAGTTTATTTTATAAAGTTGACGCCTCTTCGCTGATCAAAATCGGGATAACAGAGCGTCGCTTCTCTTCTTTAGTGCATGTGAAAATGTGGGGGTGCCGTATTTGAGCTGTCATTATGACACCACTGTGTTCGTCTGCACCGTGATGTCATGTGCTTAACATGCTTGAAATCTTTAACAAGAATATTGACAGGTTACAAAACCTAGTTATTGTAATTTCTATTACACTTTTAATGTTTTCGTTTGAAGTTCCCTTGCAATACACCAGCCATCGTCTTAGATATTTTAAAACAGGTAGTCAGTTTCGTATGCGAATAAGCAAATTTAAACGATGTAATTAAATGTCAAAGGTCAAGATACAAAACCAAAATCACAAACATATGAAACAAAGAATAACCATTCTCCTGTCTTTCTTTTGACAAAATCTGCTTTCTACCGCTAGCTGTTGCAGTTTGAGAGATGAAAAGTAGCCGAGGTAGCGCGCCCTAAGCTCTTAGTATGAGGTGATGTGAAATTTGAGGGTGTCAGTGACTCCTTCAGTCCATATTTCTAGATCTCCCTTTGTCTGCTTGTGTTACCAGTTTCCTGCTGTTTGAATTAATTCTCACTAGAAAACCGAACCATTTCGGTCTTTGTTTCTCAATAAATTTAACCATGGGTAATTTCCAATAGTTCTAATATTTTAATTTGAATATTCCCTGTCTGATGAGATTTTCTTGTCTGCTGGGCCAGTGGACGTGTGTTCACATCCCAGTTAGAAATATCACCTCCCCTCGTCATTAAGTTCGTCTTTAATTCTACCAAGTCTAACTGGGTACTATGAAATAGGAACCTTGTTCACAATGCTAGTCGTTGTTAGGTCTGGTCTGGAAAGTTAATATATATGGCTCTCCTCCGAACTCCTACCCGATATTATGGCGGGCATACAAATACCCTAACTGGGCCTCAGTCGTTTGAAAAATTCGGACTTCCTGCGCGGCGGATACTGTTTGCGGTGCGGCACACTCGCAGAAACAGGTCCGCAATTACCATATCACTGAGACCCTGTTAGAGCATTGGTTTCGTTATTCGGAACCGATTTTAGTTTA